CGTGAATTAACTTAGTCTCTCTCTCTCTCTCTCTCTCTCTCTCTCTCTCACACACACACACACACACACACACACACGCACACATACACACACACTGCTTTCTCCTCATGCCCAATTCTATTTGTCACAGGAAAGTTACTATCACAGGTTCATCAGAAGCGATCCATACTGCTGAGGCTATGATCCAACAGAGGGTTGCATCTGTCTCTGAGAGGTGATGATTTAATGTTTGGGCTGCATGGCCTTTCATTTTTATCTTTGTAGTTGTCATTTTCGAAATTCCTTCACCCTGTTCAAGTTTGGAAGTTCCTCCTAAATGCTGGGTCTGATCAAACACCTTTAATCTCAAATTACTGCCATTTTTCAAATGAGATACCGATGTTTGGCCTTCTTTAGAAGGCTGGAAAATTTGAGTTGAGCAGGTTAAAAGCAAGTGGGAGCTTATGACTTGACCAAAGAGGAATTCCTGTTTAGGCAGGGACCATCGGATAGGCAATTTTGGTCCAGGGTGGGTTGGTTTCACTTGAGTGAGAAGTACATGTACTGTTTGTTGCGAGAGGCCATGCAGTTGGGTTCTTAGCAAATGTAACTTTCTAATGTTAGTGTTAATTGTCTCCAAAAATTCCGTGTAGTATTCTTTATTTTGGATTGAATTTGAATTTGGTCATATCTGAGGTGTATGGATTGAAATAGCAGGGAAATGATTTGCCTTATAGTGGCTTCTGATTTAGACAACTTTTGAGATAAATGCAATCTCACTTGAAATTAGTTATAGTTGTGAATGATTCTGTGATGATTCCCGTTCAGCATGATTCTTTATTGTGTGTCATTGTAAGTGTCATACCAGTAATTGCCATATTTAATAGCAATGCTACAGCTTAGTTGCATATATATTGCCGGGGTTCCAATGGAGATGTCGTCTCAAGACGTGGTGGCAACTTTGTTGAAAAACTAGTGTCTATTCTCCAAAATTTAAGTTCTACTTGACGTATCCATTCTTATATGTTAAAAGGAAGAAGAAAAAATAGAAACTCGATTTAAAGACTCAACAATTTTAAAATCTTCAAGTTTAAATAACTTGACAAACTTACATGGTCTAATAATTATTGTTTTGGGAAAGGGGCTAGGGTCGTGGTAGAAGCACCCACATACCTTAATCATCATGTTGTAGTTTACATTCCCACTGACACTACTTAACTAATAGCTTAAAAAAAACTAATTTTTAAATTATTTTAAAAAATGAGTAGGGCCTGTGTACCCCACTGAATTGCCCCAAAAAAAAAAAATTTATTGTCTCAGAGCCGATAATCCTAAAACGGAAACCCAGCTTTTGTTTTTTTGAGAGTCCTTTACAATTTTGTTAAGATGGACCAAACCAGTGAGTTATCACGTGAGGAAAGTTTATGATCCATTTCTCTTCTACTACTTATGGGTGACCAATTTGGAAAAATGTAATTTGGACCTTCCACAATCCATGGAGTTAAATATCTCGTTGATCATCCTGCACCTACCTGCAAAAGCACCTTTGGGTCACTTAGGAAGAACTTTCAAGCTTTCCAATGTTCCTTAGCGGATGCAAGATTTGTTAATTTTAGGACAAGCTAGTAATAACGAGGGGTTCAAATGGGCTGTGCTGGCCTTTTGCCCAACATGGGCCGGGTTCGTGCCCGTCATGCTGGGATGGCCTTAATTAAGACCCTTTGCATTAATGGGCCAGGCATGGGCCTTGGCAATGAGGCCTAATGGGCCGTTATGCGAATTATAGTTTGCCATGGTGCACATGGGGCTGGGCCGGCCCAACTGACCTAGAAGGTTCCGTCTGACAGGGGACAAGTTCAGGCCACTTCATAGGTCAGTTGGGGCCGGATTTTAAGGCCCATTGGCTTAACAGGTGGGCCAAGTTCTGTGTTGGCCCAGCCGTTTGTGCTGCTAATAATGCCCACGTACTGAGTGAAGACTACTTGAGTATGGATCTAAGATCCGTGTAAATAAATGAAAGGAGAATATTGTGTTAGGTACTGAAATCCCTCATCCACCATTGTTACTTATCGGCGATAGCTGAGTTGAGCCATGTTCCCGACTTTTAAGCCTGCCTTGTTCGTCAGCAGAACTGGTAATGCCGACCGTCCATTGCTAACTACAGAAGGTGAGCTGGTCCGATACCTCACTATACTATGTAGTACTATAATTTACAATAAACTCAAACAAGAGTGTGGACAAAACAAGCTAAAAGGGCATAAAAGGAAAAATAAAGGTCCCAACACCTGATAATTTACCTGATCAGGATCCAAAGCCCGAAATTTAGATCCTATCTGGATTCTGTTATGGATCCAAAATTCAGATCTAGATCTAAAATGTAGATATGAGTAGTATTCGGGTCGGATTTGGGTATAGGTGGATCCGATTTGGATCCTACCTAGTTTTTAAAATAATATATATTATTATATCTATAAACACACACACACACACATATGTATATATAATTATTTTAACTTTATAATAAACAAAATTGAAACTAATCCAGATCTGGATTCAAATATGGATCCCATAGTTTTAAATCCCGATCTAGTTCTGAATATTCTATATCCAATCCAGATTTGGATGGATCCAGATCTGATCCAATCCAATCCAAGAAATTCTCAAGCCTACTACCCCCCTCACCTAGTAGGAATAGCAATTGACCAATTTTATCTATCTTCCACCATTCTCCCATGCATATAATTTCCACGCAGGATTTGCACAAGTATGTGCCAACGGTGACTCTCTTTACAGCTCTTTTTGGTTTAACCAATAAATACAATTAAGGGATTGTCTACAAATAGGCCATTTATCTTTTGTAAATGGATGTCACAATCATTTTTGTCTCTTAAAATTCAAAATGGATGGTTGTAAGAATGTCATTGAAGGGTGCGGTTTGTATAGAGCCTAGGCTCTAAACAATCAAATTAGAGCGTACCTTCAAATAGTATCGAGAAATATGGCTTCAATACTGGAAATCTTTTTGATAGCCTTAAAATATATTTCCATCTTTATTTATAAAGTTTAAAATTTAAAAAATAGTGTAGATCGAGAGATCTATGAAAACTTGAAAATCTTGAAAATTGATGGTCCAAAAGTGTGTTACAAAATACACTATTTTCAAAACTTGAAATCCATTTTTTTTCTCATGTCCATGCATCTTGATGTCGAGATGATAAATTTGAAGATATTTGGGCATCAAAACAATCTCTTCTAGTGAAATTATTGAGGTAGGTTCGAATTTGATTGTTTAGAGCCTCAGCTCTATATAAACTTTCCCCTCATTGAATAGATACAAAGTTCTAAAAAAAAAAAAAATTTCTCAGACTTCGTGACCCACTCCAAGCCATCCAATTTGATATGAAATGAGTATGAATGATTGTGACCTCCATGTCCTAAAGATAAATGGTTTCTTTGCATACAATCCCCGCAATTAATGCTAGTTTTGTAAGACACTGTTGCAGGAACTATTATGCAATTCGAATGTCTTTATTTAAACCCCACCCCTTTACTCTTCAGATGATAAATTCATTTAGCCTCAACGAAAATTGTTTCTTTTTCCTTGAGTAGCATTTAATGCTATACACCTGCTCAGTGAATCCAAACTCAGCTTTGAGCTTTGGATCTTGACTTTGGATATGTGGCCTCTTCGAGTTCTTTCTTGTGATTTCTTCAAGCTACACCCATTTCGCAACATATTTCGAAAACCTTACAACGGCACTCCACCAATTTCTTAGCATGCTAAGAGATTAAGCACCTTTTAAACCATTTCCAAGTATGACTGTTTCTGCTGGCAGATGAGGACTATGAACGCAATTTTCTATTGCATGAATGCCAACAGCTCCATGGGCATCACCCATCGTCCTGCATATTGATTAAAAGTGTTTATGCTGCAAAATTTGGGCGAATGGCTGGTCGACCACTTTGCCTGGCTTTGCTCCTAAGCTACGTCGATTAGAAATAGAGATGGTTCCTATTGAATTATAGTCTGTAAGAGGGTTGATTGTAAAATGGCCCCTCTTTTATGGACTACTGGCCTCGCTAGCTCGCGGTCCATTAGAACTGAAAATACGGACGAAAGCGCACTGGAAAATCGATTTCGAGCAAGATGGGGAGAGATTTGCAAAAGGTTTTGGGAAAAAAATCCAAACTATATTTAGCTAAGAGTGCAAAATAAAAAAAAAAGAAGTAAAAAAAGAGAGAAAATTGCTGAAAACCCCCTAAAATATACTTTCTAGACACTCTATCCCCACCCTAAACTTTCGTCACTTCTTTTTCTCAAAAACTATATTTTCTAACTAATACCCTCCAACCTAAAAAAAATATAAATAAAGACAAAATTGCCCCCTCTTTTTAACTTTTATGTTAAAAAGGGCATTTGCGTAGGCAGTCCAGTAGCAGTCCGACATTTTGTGACCGTCGATCTGGCGTTTGCGTAGGCAATCCGGCATTTTATGGGCGCGGTTTGGTGTTTTACGTACTGTAATAAAATCACTTTGATGTTTTGATACAGTTGTCCGACAATGTATGTGTGAGGTCCGGCAATATGTTTACTGTAATGTGGGCAGTTTGGCGATTTGAAGTAGTGCTCTGGCAACTTACTGGAATGGGGTCAGTCCGGCGTTTGCAATGTGCGGTTCGGCATGTGTTTTCGGAATGATGTTAAGTCCGACGTTTCATAGCTTCACTCCGGCGTTATGGTCGATCTATCCGGCACTAGGATGATGCAATCTGGTAATATCTTACTCGCAGTCTGGTGTTACAAAACTTCGCTCTGGTGATTTTACTATTGGAGATATAAGTCTGGCATTTCATGGTCTCGGTCCGGTATTTTAGATACATGAGTAGGGCGGTCCAGTGTTAGTAGTCTACGGTCCGGTGTATCACTGTCTAAATAAGCAGTCCGGTATTGTAGAAATGCAATATGGCATATGTCGTAAGTCTGGCAAATAACAACCACGGTCTGGTGAAAGTATTATTGGGGTCCGTTGAAATGATTTGTTTGTACGATGAAGGTACGGGAAGGGGTATTTTCATTAAAAAAGATATCACTTTTTGAGTTGGGGGGGTATTAGTTAGAAAATATGGTTTTTGAGAAAAAGAAGTGAGGAAAGTTTAGGGCGGGGGTAGAGTGTCTAGAAAGTATATTTTAAGGGGTTTTCAACAATTTTCCCAAAGAAAAACTTATAGTGGCCTACTTAGGAAGCCGGGTCCACAAGTTTAGTACCCGGAGTCAAGACCTAGTTAGATCTTGGACTAATGCATTGACTTCCACTATTCTTTGGGAATCCACTAGCTGAGACTCAGTTGAATTGGACATAGTTTTGAGTTATATTTTGCCAAAGGAGGTGAGGGTCTACAGTTAGACGTGATAATCTAGGGCACCTCCGGTTAAACATGATTCGCTATTTCAATATGTATTAGTTTAGGGTTGAAGCTTGGGTCAGGCCTAATGGACCCTTGGGGTGATCTAAGGCCTGCGAGAGTAGGAATTAGGGTTAGGGTTTAGAGGTAGATAAGGCCCATCAGTCGAGTATTCAAAGAGATAGTGTTTTGCCAAAAATATTAAAAAAAAACCTCTAAAACATGAAGCACATGGGTTGATTATAGGCAAAAATGGTCAATAAGGTCTCCATTGAGGTGACGGCCAAATCTGGACCGTCCATCTTTGCGCATGGATGCTTCGGCCACATGTGAGACTAAGTGGCTCGCCCACAGCCTAGGTAGGCTCATGTAGAGAGGTGGGCTCG